GAATCTCACTGGCGCCGTTTTGAGGGTCACGCCCACTTAAGGCGAATCTATATAACAGTAGGGGACGATCCTCATACTTTAGGAGTATTCGGCAACGGTCTTACAGTTGGATGGTGATTTCGCTTTTCAAATATACCAGGGAAAGTGTTCCATGCTCTTCCGTGTCCACACAAAACGATGAATGAGGTCGATTTTTTTTTCAGCGGTTGGCTTAATGTTACCCCAACGGATCGTTTGAGTGTGAAAGTTTGTTATTTTCTCCCTGATTTGTAGGAAACTGTTCTCAACTTGTCTATTTAGTGTCAAGCAGTGTTCAAGAAGGTTAACCTCATATAATAAATATCGGTAGATTATTCGCATTTATAATATTATCACGCCAGCTGAATGTGGCCATTTTCGAGCTCAAATCATTCAGGGGAATCCAGACATGTACCAGCCTGAGAATGCGTAAAAACATTGTATGTCCCCTAATGCAATATAGACTCGCCAAGAGTGGACACGATCACAAACCGGTGCCAGCGAGATTCCAAAGCCAACCGTTTAGTCAAAACCCAAGCAGTTAGCCAATTCGCTAGCGAGTTTTCAAGTTGGCTGCCCCAATACTTCTGAGACTTGCTGTAAAGCGAGAGGGTTATGGGTAACGGGCAGAACAGTTGTCTGATATCCAGGAGGATAGATGTGATTGGCCACAAAACTAGATAGCCTTACTTAATACCATACTGAACTTAAAGAACTAGAAATAATTTGGTGTTTATTTTGGCACAATTACCGTAGCAAAATGACAATCAGAATATTTTTTTATTTTATTGGATACACTGAATGTGTGAAATTGCTTACTTTTTTAAAGTATTCATCACTCATTTTCATTGATATACATTGAAAATAATGTACACATTTCATATTACAGTACAGTATTTGTTCTATTTAAATAAAAGAACATAGGTCTGTAAGCTGAAAGGCTTATTTTTGCAGTTTGTAGATATTTGGGGCAATAAATTTTCATTAATAGCAGTATCAGTTTATATATCTGACAAGGATCATTGCCTGAAATGTCTGATTATATCAAATAATTACCAATACAAGAAATTATTACCACTTTCTTTTAATATTATATTTATTAGTCTTAACAACTTTCAACATTTTTAATATTTGGGAATGTTTGAAAACTGTATAAATACAGCCTTTGCTCTTCAACAAACCCTATAATCATTTAGCATGATATTTAACTGACATAGAACCATAACCCCATATGCTATAGCTAGGTAGAATCAACATTTGCAATGACTAGGGTAGTATGTCTCTATTCAGTGTGCATTGTTATGTTAATTATACATCACCATACTGTACATAACAGCTGTTCTGAAATACATTTATGTATATTATTTCATAGATATTAATATTATAAACTTTATAATTTGTATTTAATAATATTATAATTCATATTTGATTGATTAATTAGGTTATACAAATGTAGTAATTATTTGTTTTGTTTCCAGGGCACAGAAATGTGTTGTGTATAAATAATTTCACCAGAGTTGCTGGGATTTCATACAATTTTCAAAATTGTTGTTTTCAGTAATGACTAGTTGGAGAATTTACCCTTTCTTCAACCTAAAACGTATACTGTCATATTAAGAGAATTAAATGAATACTATTGAAGATTCTTATAAATAATATAATAAATCAATGAGTTTTTGAAATCAATAGATTTTTTGAGATCAGTTTATATGCTGTTACAAAATGTATATACATGTATGTCTACTCTTTTCAGGGTTCTGGTGTAATCAAGGCTGGATTTGCTGGAGATCAAATACCCAAATACCATTTTGCAAACTAGTAAGTAGTCTTTACAGCTTATTGAACACTGATTAGTAGGATCTTCCTGGAGAGTGAAAAGTGATATAAAAGAACTATAAATTGCATTTCCTTACATTTGCCAAGCTCTTTCATTTGGGAATGTTATGTTGTTAGCCTTGACTTTCCCTTTAACTTAGGTAGCAAGCATATTCACTTGATTTGCTGTGTTACTGCTCTTCACCAGAATGGCAAGCAGTGGCTATTTATATAAATTTTCATCTTCAGTGAATCTGGTGTTCATTCTAAAGAGTGCATCGTTAGAGAGATCGTTAGTGAAGTTTTCAAAAGTTTCTAAGTCATCAGGCCGTGGCAGTTTTCCTAGAACAGATTTCTAACTAAAAGTATTGATTTGATTACAGTGTTGGTCGACCTAAACATATCCGTGTGATGGCTGGAGCCTTGGAAGGTGATATGTTTATTGGTCCCAAGGCTGAAGAACATCGAGGCTTGCTTAGTATTAGGTACCCAATGGAGGTGAGCTTATTGACTAACAATGATTAATTAGTAGTAAATGTATGAATGGTTAATAAATAAATAGTTGTTGTATGTATGTATGTATGTATGTATGTATGAATTAATTAATTTATTATTATTCCAGTCTGATTCACAGGTAACATACCAATGCTTCATTTCCATAATCTTTTGCTCATTTTAACTTTAACAAATTCAATATGAATTTATTATTTATTTTTCAATATTTACAATTCAATTGGCACACAACCAATAAATTGTATTTCAATTAACAACTTTTGAGTTCCTATTGGATTCTCATTTGCATATGCATTTCAAGGTTTGAATCAATAAACTTACTTTGAAGAAAGTTCCACAACTTTGTAAATTCCCCCAGCAGGCATAACATGATAACATGGAGTAATGCACGGAAGGCAAAGCTTATTGAACTTGTAAAACATGCAGATAAACTAAATATTCCTTTCTTATTATTCTTCCGTTTGCTAATCATGATAATTCTGTGTTTTGCGATTCCATTGCTGATATCTACAGGTTCGCGACTGCAACTATCGTCATGGCCGATGAACAGTTGTTTCATGGAAAATCATAGAAAGTAAAGTCCGAAAGTCAGGGATATTTCACCAATACCAGTTAACTATTTTATATACCTACCTGTAGGTCAGAAATAATACGCTTCCCACACAATGCTAATTGGGTGCATACAATGTTGTATTAATTCAACCCGACTCCAAGCGTCGAAAACCACTGTCATTCTGGTACTATGTTCTACCCTCTAGTGGTGTTCGGGTGAAACCTGACAACTCAAAAGTCAACAAAGTTAACTCATTGCCTGCTGACTCCTATTCTCACTTTTTAGCTCCGCTGTCGACTTTGTCGAGCGGAGCTTATCATATGAGTGATTGTTCGTCGTCGTCGTCCGTCGTCGTCGTCCGTGTCAATGTTTTACTTTTTCGACTTCTTCTTGAAAACTACAAGCCTGAATGCTTTGATACTTGGTGTATATGTACCTTGGGTAGACCTCTCTCAGATTTGTTCATTTCATGATGATATCTTCAATTCTCTAATTTTGGTGAATATTTTTGTCATTTTTAGTAAAAAGTGATATTTTCAACTTCTTGTTGAAAACCGCAAGTCCAATTGCTTTGATATTACATATATAGGTACTACATGTGGACCTCTCTCAGATTTGTTCATTTTGTAATGATATCTTTAATTCTCTAACTTTGGTGAATATTTTTGTCATTTTGGTAAA